TACTAGTTTATTACGTACGTACTATATTACTAAAAGTAACACAGAGTAAGTAGTAAATAACTAATACTAATATATATATATATATATATATATATATATATATATATAGGGTGCGGTTTTTATAAGGTTGTAACTTTAAACAATCCGATTTAAGGCGCACCTTAAAATTTTATACATAACATGTAATTTTGTTGTGAAAAAATCTTAGTATTATTTTAAAATCTATTTTCATACCTAATTAAAAAATTTTAAATTTAAAATATAGTTAAAATCAAGTAGATCTATAAATATATGAAAATCTTGAAAATGGATGGTCTAGATTTTGTGTTGCAAGATGCACTATTTTCGAGATTCAAAAACTTTTTTTTTTTCATATTCATTGATCTCGATGTCGAGATGATTGATTAGAGGGCTTTTTCAATATTAAAACAACATTTTCGATAGATTTTTTAGGTGCATCTGTGATGTTACATTTTAAGGTTGCAACCTTATATAAAATTTTTCCATACATATATATGTATAAATATTTGTCGGTAATTCTTGAAAGGAATGAACCCAAGAGATAGGACCTCTAGAGAGAGAAACCCTAAGAGGAATCAAACCGTTGTTGGAGACATGTGGCCTTTTTGTTGCCTTTCCAGCATTTTACATGAGCCCCTTGTATATAATGGATTGTTTGGCTCCAGCCGGGGCATGTTTGAAGTGGAATTACTGATGTGGCTTAGGCTCATTTGACATGGCAAGTTAAACATAGGAAAAATTGCCGATACCTCCCAACTTTAGACTTTCTTGACAACCTCCCTCTAATTGATTTTTTTTTCTCATAATTTTTACCCCAAAACATAGTTTTTTAGCAATATCCCCTAACCAAAAAGTCATCATTTTTTGATAAAAATGCCCTTGTCGGTACAAGCTGACGTTACACCCTGTGGGGTGCCCAATGACCAACAGCTCACTGTTGGATCGTGATAAATAACTGCCGGACTAGTAACATGCAAGAAGACCAATCCGTCACACAACCCATGCGAGTAGGTTAACTTTTGGATCCCACTAAAAAACTGTCGGTTGGGCGAAGATTGTCTAGAATGTCCAAGGTTGGGGGGTATCTGCACTTTTTCCTTAAACTTACCTATAGTGCCTGATTGGGTTGTGGCTGTATATACAGGTTAGCTTGTAGGAGAAGCCCGCACATCTAGAAATGCGGCGGTTATTAAAAAATCTATTTTTGAGATGAATTTTTAAACTTAATTTTTAAGGACATGTAATCTCTAACATGGAGATCATGAATATGAAAAAGTAAATAAATTTTGAAAGCTAGTAATAATATTTCTATTAAGAAAATATTTGGACTGTTATTTTTCATTGTTTTTGCATGGACCACCTACTTGCATCCATCTTTAAGATGGACGCTTTACACTTCTTGACCGCATATGTAGAAATGCAGTTCAACTTGCATGAAACAATTTTTGTTTCTATAAAATGACTCAGGTTGTTTTTGAGCTTTTCCAAAAATGAAACCCTAACCTCTAAATCCTAGCTTAACTTCAGATTTGATATACTAAATCCTAAACTTAGGCCACTAAAACCTTAGATCTAACAAACCATTTCAAGCAAATTTGGAGAACAAAACAACCTTGTCATTCAAATAAAAAAGTCCTAGAGGTAAATTCAGAGGCATGCCTCTTTCTCCTTTGAGAAAAATCAAACACGGATATGCACTATTTATGATCAAGGAGGAAGAGTCAATCTTCGCCTATCTAATTCTTGCCCCACTTTGGGTGTAGGGCTTGAGGAGCTTTCAGGTTTGTTTCTTCTTTTATTTTATGTTCTTTATTATTTCTCTTTTTTATCTTTGTATTATTGTCATTTATTTCTTTGGAAAATCCCTTTTAAATCTGTAGTTCCTATTTTCTTTTGATTTTTGGTGTTCATTTTGGATTTTGCACAAATCTAAGCCGATTCAGCCAATATTTTGTGAAGAGAGACCTTTTGAGGCTAATCTGCTTGTAAATTGGGATTTGATGGAACCCACCTCTTTTGATTTTAAAAATTCCAGTTTAGATCCGATTCTGATACAAATCAGACTTTGAGCTGTCTGTTCAGTCTCGAAATCATTATGTGCAAACAAACAATAGAATAATTTGGGTATAATTGTTTTGCATCCAACTTTTCTTAAAAGTAATTATTGTGTCTGGTGTTATGCTTCTTTCATTGTATGCTTCCTAAAATTACTGTACGGTTTTTGTCCCATGATAGCAGAGGCACCATGCCATACTGTGTATAATAAAAATTTAGACAAATAGTTTGTACAAGGAAGATGTTAAATGGACCAAGTACTGGCGTAGTACTATCGTGCAATAATTTACTGTATCCTCAAATAGAAAATATGCTCATACCATATGAAAATATGTTATTCAAATATTTATATAGAAAATAGGGTTGTCCAAGTACTGGCGTAATACTATCGTGCAATAATTTACTGTATCCTCAAATAGAAAATATGCTCATACCATATGAAAATATGTTATGCAAATATTTATATAGAAAATAGGAAAATTATTGCTAATTTACCTATATTTTATTATAATCAGAAAAAAAAAAAACTCTCAATTTTTTGAAACCTCACTTGCATCCTTTCTTACAATTTTTGTGTTTTTTTTTAGACAAAAATAACCTTCATAGTAGTCTTTTTACTGTAAAGAACCTTACGATAATTTAAATACCGTAATAAGTTGAAGGAGTATTACGGTAATTAAAATACCGTAATACTTTAATAGGTATCATTTTATACGGTATTTAAAATACCGTAGTAACTTCAATTAGCATCACAGTACTTTAAGTACCATAAAACTATGGCTATGACCGTCAAGCCAATTACGGTACTTTAAGTACCGTAAAAACTAAAACCAATTTTACGGCATTTTAAGTACCATAAAAACTAATGCATGTTATACGGCACTTAAAATGCCGTAAAACCCATTCTCTTTATTATATTTATCTCTTTCATCTCTATTTTTTTTTATGTTTATCTCTTATTTCTTTCTCTCATTCTTTTTAATATTCTCTTCTTTCTCTCTCTAGATCTTTTCTCTCCCTAATTGGGATATTTGGACGTGTCCAAATTGGCTCGTAGAGTAAGATTGTAGAGAAAGAAAGAAGAGATAAAAAAGAATGAGAGAGAGAGAAAAAAAGATAAATATGAAAAAGAATTAGAGAAATAAAGAATAGATAAACATAAAAAGAATTAGAGATGAAATAGATAAATATAAACCGAGAAAAATAATAGATCAACATAAAAAAAATTTGAGATGAAATAGATAAATATAAAATGAGGTTGCTGTATAACATGGGTTAGCGTTTACGGTACTTAAAACGTGGGCCAGTGTATGTTTACGGTATTTAAAGTACCGTATAAAACGCATTCACTATTATGGTATTTAAAATACCGCATAAAATTTTCTAAGTATTACGGTACTTAAAGTACCGTATAACATGCACTAACTATTAAGGTAATACGACTACCGTGAAGGTCATTTTGGTAAAAAAAATAAAAAAATAAAAAAAAAGGTGTAGACGAGATAAATAAAAGTTTGAGGCTTTTTCCAATTAAACTTATATCTACGATAATTTTATGTTCATATCCAATTTTTTAGCTCCAACTGTTGCCCTTTAGCAATTCCATTAGGGGTACAGTTTGTGTAGGGCCTAGGCTCTAAACAATCAAATTAGAACCTACCTTCAAATAATGTCGACAAATTTGGTTTTAAAATTGGAAATCTTTGTGCTAGACTTAAAATATATTTTCATACTTATTT